GGGGAAAAAAAAAACCACACGAACGCCAATTAGCCACCGAGAGTTGACCAATTCTCGCTGGTCTCAATACACACTGACAAAGGAGGACATGAATTTGACTGGGACAACGCATCCATAATAGCACGAGCCAAACAGATACATGCCAGGGAATTCCTGAAGGCCTGGCATTCCAACCGGAACTCCATCAATAAACACACATTGAACTGGACCTGATATACAAACCACTGGAAAACAGAACCAGAAGTAATGCCAACCACGCTAGTAAACAGGCAAGTAACAAGCAGGATAGAACACCAACGCTTCACCGGAGGCACGCTGATGATGTTAGCTAGCAGGGTAACAAAACATCTGCAACCCAACACCGGCTTGGTGAGCATGTCTACAACCTCATCCACAACCCAAGCTACAAATCTTCTCCAAACTCTGAGGATTTGAGTTATAGGGAGAGGCTAAATAGGCTGAGGCTATTTTTCCTGGAGCGTCAGAGGCTGAAGGGTGACCTCTTATAGAGGTTTATAAACCTGGAGCATGGATGGGGTATATAGACAAGGTCTTTCCCTAAACTAGAGGCCATATTTGTAAAGTGACTGAGGAAAGATGTAAAAGGGATGTAAGGGGTAGCTTTTTCAGAGGGTGGTGAGTGGAAGGAATGAGCTGCCAGAGGAACTAGTGGAAGCTGGTACAATTACAACATTTTAAAAGGCATCTAGATTGGGTATATGAATAGAAAGGGTTTAAAGGGATATGGGCCAAATGCTGACAAATGGGACTAGATTTATTCAGGATATCTGGTTGGCATGGACTAGTTGGATGGAAGAGTACAGCACAGAAACTGACATCTGATTAAGAATTTTGTGCTTAAAATACAATTTTAATGTCCGTTAACAGTATTTGTTAATTTTCTTTTTGAATGGAAAATTCCATATGTTAACATTTTTGACCTCCACTAATTGGCTTAGACTTACCACCTTCTCAGCCATCATAAAGATCTCATTTTACATATTTATTTTCTATCGTGAGATAGTTAAGCATGTTTAATTATGAAATTATTTTAGATCTTGTAAATCTGTTAAAGACAACCACTCAAAGCATTGTAGTAATACAGGCCACAAATTAAAGCCAAAAAAGTCTTATTCTGTTAATTCTTTTTGCAGACTATTTCAATTGTGTACATCATTACTGCTGTAGTTGGTGTTGAAGCTTGGTATGGACCCATCTTCCTTAATTTACAATACAGAGATCTCTTCAGTATAATGATTCTGGGTATGTAGCTTCTGTTAAATATACCAAGACTTATCAGTGTGAAACCAGTATATAAACATTTGATAAAGCATGGTGAAAATAGACTCCCGCGTATGTGCCTCTGCTCTGCAAAGGATGTAGGCTCCCATCTGCAATTCTCAACAAGGTGAATTTTTAATTTCCGCTTTGCTACTAATGGATAGTCAGTTGCAGTCCTTACTTTGAGTGGGAGAGTGTTACTGTCTTGTCCTTCTGACTCTGGAATGATTCAAGGACATGTGGAAGGAGTTGGATTTAACCAAATCATCAAAATGAGTCCCAATCAAAAACACGTCCCTCTGTAAATAAAAACACTGCAGGAAATGCTCTGCAGGTCAGGCAGCATCGTGGAGAAGCAAACAGTCAATGTTTCAGGCTGATGACCTTTCACCAGAGTGAAGTTGTTCTTGCTATCAGCAACTGGGTTCTGATGAAAGATCATACACAAAATAGTAAATGTTTCCACAAACATTGCTTGACTTGAGCATCTTTGCAGATTTGTGCAATCTGCAGTATTTTGTATTTGTATTTTTTTTTTTGTTGTGTCTTTTTTTTTTAAAACTTTAAGAACAAGTTGCCAATTTCAGTGTTTGGAGCGCAGATGCAGCATGCATCTGTATATGCATATACGTATACATATTTAGTTAGAATAAAAGTAATTGTTTTTAGGGCTGCACTGGAGGATTCCAAATTCATGTTTCCTTTTAACAACTGATTTTGGATATGAGTTTTCTGTTGAGCTTGTTTCTTGTGTTTCGAAGTAGAAATCAGGAGCAGAGTAGCCCACTTTTTTTTTTTGACTTTTTTTTTTTTTTTGAACTTGCTCCATCATTCCCTGTGATTTGTGGCTGGTCAGACTCCTGTCTGTTCGAGTGCCTTTTTTTAAACTGCTTTCTCTCCATTTTATACCCACCACACCCGCCCCCTCACCCTCTTCTGGAATATATTCCAGTGGATTTGCCTTCGCTGCCTTCTATGATAGAGACTTTTACAGGTTCACTACCCTCAGAAGAAATGTTTCCACATTCAGCCCTACATGGTATACCTTCTTTCCTGAAACTATGACCTCTGACTCTCTGCTATCCAACCAGGGAAAACATCCTACCTACATCTAAATCTATTAGAATTTGTTTTGATCAGAATCTCCCTCATCTCTTAAAAACCGTAGAGAGTACAGGCTCAGTTGAACCAATTCTCCTCAAACGCTAGTTCTGTCAACACACTATCGGCCAAATGAACCAGTATTGCAAGTGGCAAGTTGATCCTTTCTTGGAAGGGAGGCCAAAATATCGTGCAGTGCTCCCATTGTCATCCCACCTAAACCCTGTATTACTACAATAAGATGTCCTGATTTCTGAATTCTCATCTTGCAATGAAGGTCATCATACCATTTTGCATTCCCAATTGCTTTCTGCACCTGACTGTATATACCTGAGTAGACAGACACCCAGCTCTTTTTTTTTTTTTTTTTTTTTTTTTTTTTTTTTTTAAAATCTACATCCACATTTTAAATAATACTCTGCCTTTTCTGTTTTTCACAAGTATATAACTTCACATTTAGCCAAGCCACATTTGTACTCCATCTGCCATATGTTCGCCCACTCAACTTGTCTAAAATACCTTGAGGCTGCCTTTTGACTGTTGTCAGCTTTCACATTCTAAGTATTAGCCTAAACATCATGTTCAAGTTTGTCTCAACCATACAATAGTACAATCAGGTCAGACTTTCCCGTACTTGTTTGTGAGAGACAGAGCCTCAATCATCTGAGGATTTACTTTATTTGAATGGGTTCCAAACTACACATTAACACCATGATGTGGTAGGAATCTCAAAAATACTGTATTGTTGATATTTTAAAATATTTCAAATGTATATTAAAAGATGCTATACAACTACCTAAAAAGTAGATGATAGACAATGAAAATACATGCTAGAAGAAATGGTTGAAACTTTAGCCTAACTTCTGCCATCACTGGCAAAGCAGCTGTGCTTCCTGCTGAATTAAACGTTACTGACACAGATCTAGCAATTTTTGTGTGAATTTTTACTTTGTTGGTACCAAGTCAAGTGAATTTCTTGGAAATGTAGCAGCAGTGATGTTAGCAGGCAGTCAATTCCACTAAATTATTCTGATGATAAAGCAAAAAAGTTAATATTAACTTACCTTGTAATTAGTAATTTAACTTACCTTGCTTTTTTAAAAATTGCAGTTAATTGATTTTTGTTTGGAATTGTGTCAAAGCTTAACTTTATTTTTAGAAAAAAATATTAATCAGTCAAAAAATTGATGTTCAAATAAGTGAATTTAGATTTTATTGTCATTTAAAGGTGTAATTTTGAAGATAGCATGCTGTTAAAATTTCAGTTGGATTTCATTCAGTAAAATGTAACATTTACAGTGACACCAACAGCATAAGAGTAGAAGTTCTTGTCAGTCCAATAGATTTTCTATTGGTTGCAGTCAACAGGAGCAGTATTGAATCACCCACAGTGTCTTCCGGATGTCTGTGTTTTTTTTTTTTTTTTTTTTTTTTTTTTTTTTTTCTGTGCTTATACAGGCCCCAGAGGTTGCTGTCAGTTTCAGAGTAAGGATGGTGAATGCTCTGGTGATGTTACTACCATATTTTCCAGGGCTTAAACAATCTAAATGTAGAAAATTTTGATTTTTGTGAGCTATGTAAATCTAAGCCACGGAGTCTTGAACTGCTGTGTACAATTCTGGCCTCTACACTAAAAGAGGACGTGGATGCTTTGGAGGGGGTACTGAAAAGGTTGCCAAGATGTTGCCTAGTATGGGGGATTGAAGCTATGAGGAAAGGTTGGAATGCAGGAGGTTGAGGGACAACCTAATAGAAGTTTCTAAGATTGTGAATGGCATGGATAGCGTGGAAAGAATGAGGCTATTCTACAGAGTGGAGGGGCCCGTTACTAGGGGACACAGGTTTGGGGTCAAGGGTGGAGTGTAAAAGATGTGCAAGATAAATTTTTCACAAAGGATGGCGAGTGCCTGGAACATGCTGCCAGAGGAGATGGTGGAAGCAGACAATAGCAGCATCCGAGAAGCACCTGGATGAGTATACGAGTAGGAACGGAACAGAGGAATGAGGATCCTGTAAGACCTGTTTTAGTATGGAATAGCAAAATGTATCAGCACAGGCTGAAGGGCCTGTTTCTGTGCTGTACTTTTTTTTTGTTCTTTGGTTTTTAACCAAGTAGAATATTTAAGACCATATTGCCATTAGGTTTTGCTACACAGTATGTGAAGCTAGTGATACCGATGCAAATGGATGTTTTTGGAATCCTTCACTAATCAGGCATAAAAAATTTAAATAGGATAAAAATGGGTAGATTTGCCAGGACCTGAATGTTAGAACTGTCCACAAATTGTCATTTGGATCCTATAGTCTGTTTCAAACATCTAACTGTTACAATTACAGAAATTTCTGATAGCTCATGACTGCAATACTTTATATTCCAGCATTACGTTTGTAAATCAAAATGTTTATCAGGACTAGCAAAACATTGTTAACAATGCCCATTCTTGTTTCAAAACCCCTCTAACATAGGGAACTGTTGCATTTATGACAAAACAAGGTATTTATGTATTGTTCCCATCTTGAACAACAAGTTTTCTTTAGTGATATTTTTGGATGTGCAATTTTCAAAGCCTGCCATTGTAAATTTATTGAATTGAACACCGAAGAAGTAGTTTCATGGACGTAGTATGCTGATGCCTGTGAATTTAAATTTATTTAATCTATCTCCTAGGTTGTGCCTTTATTGTCACATTTCCTGTGAGCTTGTATAATGTTTTCAAGTAAGTATCTGAATTCTTTGGTTCTGTGCCTTTTTAACAAGTTTTTTTTTGATGTGTCAATATTTCAATTTGAAATTCTTTTTTTTGTAAAAATGTAAACATTTTAAGTTGTGTATTGATATTTTGGAATAATCTTGAATGTTTTGTTTGTAGTCATGAGCCTTGATCATAAATGCGCTGTATCCGCTGCATTTATTCTTGTATTCTTTGAAATTAATTTGGAGACTTTATTTGTACATGTCCTCATTTATCAAATGATTCTGGGATTGTAAATGATCATGATTTAGCTATAAAGATAGTGTATGTATTGTTCTTGGGATAATTTGTTGCATCTGCGATCCTTTTTCCAAGTTATTAAACACAAGGAAAAAAAATGCCTTGGAAATCCAAGTTTGCAAAATGTTCAGCTGTGGAAATAGCATAAAACCTTGTGGCCGGTGGTGTCACTTTTTTTTTTGAGGTCTATACATTGTGGATCAAAGTCTTGATTCTTAATATTTAAAATGTACTGTACCGCACAGCAAAGCATTCTTTATAAATATGTTAACCTAGAAAATTTTGGATAACTTAAGTGAAGCTTGATTACTCTACTCTAATTAGTGCTGTTCTCCTTGATTCTTTAGAGCATATAGGTCTAACACCCTGAAGCACCATTCCTTTTATGAAGCAATGCTGCCATTCATTTCACCAGTATTGCTTTTCAGTCTTTGCACACTCTGGGTCTGTACATCGCCATATGACGTTATAGAGAAACATCCAAGAATAGTATACTTTTTGGTTGGCACAGCCTTTTCTAATCTCACGGTAAGATCGTCTGCCTGCCTGTTCACCCCCTCTCATCTGCAAATTATAAAGGAATGCTCTTGTATTTTTATTTATGTAAATAGACTAAATGCTTCTCCTTTTCTACTTTGCAGTGTAAGCTCATAGTTTGTCAGATGAGTAATACTCGCTGTCAGCCCCTCAGCTGGTTTCTCCTGCCATTGGCTGTAGGTGTGATCTTTGTAATCTCTGGTATCTTGCAAGACAAAGAATATTATCTTCTCATTATTTTGACTACAGTAATAACTCTTGCACACATTCACTACGGAGTATGTGTGGTGAGTAGATTTTGTTTTGCTATGTTTGTATTTCTGGTTATGTCTAAATAAGATTATTGTTTATCCTCAATGATAAACATTGTCATGGAACACTTTAAAAGCATTGATGTTTAAGAGCAAAATCCTCCCTACTAACAATGTATCATTTTCAATACCTCCATTATAATTGCGGGATTTTTTTAGCATACATATCTGGCACTTTGATCCTATCCATCTGGACTATTACTCGAGTATTCTTTTTTGCTATACTTTGGCATTGTTTCTGATTTAACATCTCCTCCATCACTGAGAAGATTCATGGTCAAAAATCACACGACATCTGGCGCATCCATATCATGGAACAGATTCCTATTGGTCTTTTCAGAAACATTTTGTACTGCATTGTTGCATGAATTAAACATTTGAGTTCCTTTTTTGTCTTTGAACTAGGTTAAATTTTCAAGACAATTTTTTTGAAAAAAAAAAGTTTAATGTTTCAAGACAAACATTAAAAATATAAGAAATAGGATTAAACCATATGGCCTGTCAAACCTGGTCTGCCATTTAGTGTAATAATGGAATTCAACCCCACTTTCCTGCCTCTTCCCTCCTGCTCTTCCCATATTCCTTTTTGATTTGAGAGACACCAACAATATATTTATCACAGTCTTGAATGCATTTAGTTATAGAATTCCTCTATGTAGTTTTCAACATGAAGGAGAAATGAGTCTTTAGCCAAGGTTGAGGGTGTGGTGAAGGTGCTAACCAGGATGTTTCCTTGTTCATATTTGCCTTTTAATGTCGCGAGACTTCATGTGCTGCAGAGTCCACCTTGATGGATCCCAAGACAACTCCCTCCCAACAGTATGCCATTGTGTTCTGGTGGGTCTGTTTGTTAGAGGTACAAGACATACCCAGTATTAGTAATGGAAATATCTGGGAGATTGAAAGGTATAAAATGACTTTGTTCACATTATCTACCTTTTTTTTAATTAGTTACATACTCAATATTTCAATAAATTTGCCAAACAGGATATTCCCTTTGCTGAAAGCATGTTGACTTGTGGTCTTTGGTCTTTGAATTGCATTAAGACTTCTGTAATAGTTTGTAGCATTTGCCCAAGAATTGATTTTGGGCTAATTGGCATGTGGCTCTCTGCTTGCTTTCTTCCTCCTTTCCTAAAGTGATGAAACTGGCAAAATGTTACCAGTCTACTGGGCTCTTTCCAGGGAGTGAGACTGCCTCCTGGAACAAGTGTCCAGGCAACACTCTTTCTCTCTCCCTCCCTCACTCATGCCCCACAATATTTACACTTCAGACTTCAGTTCAGTATCCATGAGCCAAAGTTGCCCATGTGTTGTGGTGATGGTGATTAGTTAATAGTTAATATTCAATAGTCAATTGGTTAATAGTTACACAGCTCAAGTAATAAATCAAACTTGTACTTTCTGAGCTTTTGAGCTCAACTGTTGGGGACTGATGAAGACAGTGAAATGGAGGACCTCTTTCCTGCTTGTGCACCAAATTTCCACATGAAACCAAGAGTTCTTCTTTCTGATATGTGGGCACTTTTGTCTAAGCCAGCATTTATTGCCCAGCCCAAATTGCTCAGGACTTAGTCCACAATATTATAGGGTTGAAGTCACATGCAGATGACTAAGGATGGAAGATTTCTTCCCTAATGGACACTAGTGAAGTAGATAAGTTTTTATGACCATCAATATTGGTTACTTTTTTGTTTTTAAATTCTAGGTTTGTTTTTTAAAAAACTAGAATTCAATTTTCACTTTCTATCATGGTGGGATTTGAATCCAAGATCCCAGAACATGAGCCTCAGGTTCTGAATTATTATGCCACTGTCTTTATCCCCTGCCAAAAGATGATATACTTTTTTTTTTACTCATGCCTCACTTTAGACACAGTCTTCTGACTGTATACCCCTTCTTTCGACCATGGTGTGAAAAACTTGGCTCCTTTTTAACGGCAGTTACTCAGGCATGACAGCACAGCTAGTTTGTCTTGCCTTTTTCTTCCCCCCCCCACATCATGCTGTAGCCAGCGACATTAGTGACCTAGAGAAAACTTGCCCTTGTCCCCATAGAAATGTACTTTTCACATTGGTGAGTTGACTAACACTGCAACAAGAGTGCCATGAAAGGGAGACTGATCAGGGAAACATTCCAAGCATGACTGACCCAAAATTGAACTAATGAGTTGTTGAAGGCTGAATATGTACATAGCTCTAAGCAGTTTCAGAACATCACAATGAACAAAAACACCCTGATGCACCTTAGCATTGAAAATAGCTACAGGAATTAGATAAGTGTTACTTTCTAGGAACTTTTTATAAACATCTTTTTAGAGTGCAACATTTTACTGTCTTATAGGTGAATCAGCTGAGCAAACATTTTAACATTTACGTCTTTTCATTGAAAAAACCAAACGTTGAATGACTGGAGGAGGAACAGAAAATTGGCTTGCAGGCTTCAGAAGTATTGTAAAGAATTGCTACCCCATGAGCCTGTGAATGCTTCAACCGTCACTGCAAACTGTGCCCCACCACCAACAGTAGAAAACAGGAGATTCAGATGGTCCCTCCTAAGTATTAAGATAGTTTTTTTTTTTTTATAAAGAGATATACTGATAAAGGTTGAATAATTCAATTAAATATGTGAATAGACACTAACTGTGCACAAAGGTTGTGTGCAATTGGCTGGCACTGGATTTTTTTTTTTTGTGATGCTCCTTTTCATTCAAGTTCTATTGTACTATTGGACTCTTCGATTTTTAAATAGATGGTAACTTGTATCCAAGACAATAGACGAAGAAACATTTCGTCTCACTTCCAGGTTATAGATTCACAACCTAGTTCTTGGGCAATGTGATTTATATTTGCATTGTTTCTTCATCATCCACTTTTTTCTTCAACCTGTGTTATGAAACATAATTACATCTCACTTATTACACACTGAATAGTCACTTGCCTGTGTAGTCTGAGTAAAATGGCCAATTCTGGAAATTGCACATTTTCACAAAGATGTAATAGTAGTGAAGTCTTGTGTATATGAGTTTGCTAAAGCCCATATTAAAACCCTATTTTTGCAAAAGCTATAACTTAAGAGAAATTGGATGAAAATATAATTTAAGTGGACTTATCAGAAACAAATCAAAACCTCAAATTGATGTTCTCCCTTCTGTTTCAATTTTTTTGTGGTGGTGAATGCATGCCGATTTTCTACTATATAGCTTTTTTTTTTCAATGGAAGTTTGTGCTTGAATGAAGAGTATACTAAAAGTCTCAGAGCAAGGTATACTTGGAAGGAACAAGCATTACTAGCAGTTTATTCTACAAAACCAGAGGTTTTGTTCCTAGACTCTGTTTAGGAAAAGCAATTTAATGTATTGTGTGTATTTTCATTTGTGGCAGTTACACTTGGTTAAGATGGGAGAGAACGTAGAAGGGATAGAATGATCAGATTGTCATGCTTCATAGTGTAAGAATGCATACTTAATTTAGTTTGGATCCTTGTGTTAAGTACAGTTTAGTCAATGGTCTTGTTTCCGTAGAGGTACTGTATCTATTCCTGGCAAAGCTTGTCATAATAAAATATTGCAATATTCCTATTCATATCAATCACTAATCTGTCCAAAATATTTGGATCTGGCAAATAGAATCCATTCTAATTTTTGACGTCATGCTAACTAGTTTGGATTGACTCCAGCTTCCTTTTAAAAGCAACTTCAACTGGCCCAAATTAATTGTAACAATAAGATTAAAGATAATTGTATTGCAGCTTTCATGAAATACTTGCAAGCCAGGTGAGCTGATTATAAGTTGCAACTCAAAGTATTGCTGTGTACCACAGTTCTATCAATAATTGTCTGAATATGAACTGAATGTTCTGATTAATATCATGGCAAAATATCAAATCCATTTTTTTCTTTTCAAATTACCTGTAGTACAAAAGTGAAGTTTGAATCAACTTGATGTATATTGCCTCTTTGTGCATCATTTTACTCTTTTTGTAAACTTGAGTAATCATCTTATCACTTACTATTTTACCCGTGGTTTGCATGTTTTGTTTCTGATATTTCATATATATCAGAAGTCTAACAGATGAATACTTAAAGTTTTTAGCTTTAATTTGGTCAGATTGAATCTGACTTTCAGATCATAAATTGAAGTGTTTAATTTGACCATCCAACTTTCAACTAAAACCCAATTAAAAGCCCACTATTGATTCATATTTGTTGTTGTAAGGAATCCATGATAAGTTGTTTGACCAAGTTTGTTTTGTTTTTATTAAAGGGTGAAACTCCTAGGTTGAATATTGTTAGTTTTCTTAATTTGCGGCTTCAGATTGCATGTAACTTGTGCCTTTTTTTGCTTTTCAATTTGTAGAAGAGATGATTAGATCCTCAAAGTGCATTAGTTCAAATCAATGTACAGTGATCTGGCTGATCTAGCTGATCTAGCAATGTTTTTGACGCCACTGCTTCTTGCTTGTATACTAGGATGTATGTCCTTTAGTAACTTTGTCTGATTTTTTTTTTTTTTGGAAGTACTAATTGAAACTAATGCAAGAGATAGAAACACATTCTGTGCCAATTCCAGATTTGGTCTAATTATTTCTGGGTTCAGATGTTAACTGAGTCATGAATTCATGCAGATGTAACTTTTATTGATTAGCTGCCGATGTAATTACTGGAACGTTTTGTTAGGAATGTGAATGATCTTTTATCATACACTAATACTAGTGTTGCTATTTACAATTTGATTTGCTTTCTTCTCCATCTACCCAGTTAAGTTGCCAGAAGTGTGACTGTATCTAATAGAATGTTGGTTAATAATTGTTTTGGTGTGTAACATTTGATATGTGAACATCTTTATATGGCTTTCAGTTGTTATGGGTGCACGTTCTTTGATTAATTCCCAAATAGCTGTTATTTTGTACAGAAATATCAAAATACAACTTCACTGTTAATTAAAAATAGAGCAATTGTCCTAATTATGAATTAATGCACGGTTAAGGTAGTTGGAAATAATACTATGAATTCTGACAGAAAATAGAATTTACTGCAGATATTCTGATGGCATAAATAGGTTCTTCTGATTGTGTACTATTACTCAATGTCAGAATATAAGAATTGTGGTGAGGTGACCACAGAGCTTGTGTGCCTCCTAGGTATTACTGGATTTTGCAATTTTTATTATTAAATTCATAGTAATAACCTGCAAAAAGTACAATATCCACCGCCCCTTGAATTAAAAGTTTTTTTTTAAGTTCAATCAGCTATTCTGGAGAAAGTAGCGAAGATTCTTGCACTTGGGTGACTTTTAACTTTGTTTATGAAAGTTAAAGATTAGTATTTTCACATGCACGTCTTATGCGTTTTTTCTAAGAGATGACAGTGGATGCAATTTTTTTAAACTTTTTTTAAAGATTTTGATATTTCTTGCAAGCTTCATTATTCTCCTTGGCCTTGTCATGTATCACCATAGTTGGGGGGGAAAATAAACACAACAGCTTATCAACCTTGTCAAGTTTTCTAGAAAACTTCAAATGTTGGATAGAGGGGCTGATGGTCAAATGTTGGCTTTGTTTACATTGCTCTCTAGCACAAATAGTTTAACTGTTATTTAGCACTAAAGCCTGTAAAAATCATCTTACATAATTATGAAATTAATGCAATAACTTTTTTTGCTTTTTTTTGGTTTTGGGTCCAGTGTGCATAGTTATTTCCATATTCCCTTAGTATTAGAGGTCCTGTATAGTCAAAATGATAAATTATTTCCACTCAAACAATTAAACCTTGACAAATTTATACTAGATTGTGAAGTGCTTTTCACACCTGCCATTGCAGTGCACTGTTAATTCAATTTGCACACCTGATCTTGTTTGCAAGTTAATACCAGGATACAACTATGTAGAAATCTGTTTTCTATCCTTTGAAAGTGGATTTGATTCGTATAGTTGAACTATTTTGCTGCTCAATTGCTGACCATTTTTAAATTTGGAAATGATTTAACTGATTTAATTATGTGCATGCTGTATAATTCAGAAGCCTGATTACAGCTTAACATTGTGAAATTATTTCAATTGTTGTTACTTAATCTCTTGTCCAAGCAATTAACTATTCAGATTAACTCTGTTTGTGTTAGATGTATTCAGTAATATTGTACTGCCTTGAGTTTCCTTCTGATACTGAATGTTCATGGCTGCTCATTGTCTTTTTATTCACAATGAATTTACTGAGGAACAGTGGGATATGAAAAAAGATGGACCATCTCATTAAACTTGGATGATAGTTAAAAGCACATCAAGCAGTTCAGGGTTGGTCTAGATTTTAAAAAAACTAGTGAATTTTCCTTGTCACTAACAGATTTATGATTACTATTGGATGAGATTGTGCTTTCACTTTGAGAAAGAAGTAATATTCTTAAATGTTAAAACAAAAGGAATTTTGTTTCCTATAAGCTTAAAATGCCACAATATTTATAGTTCGCCGATGCCTTTAGGTGGAGCTTATTTTGGAGAACATTGACAGAACTGCATAAAATTTAAAACTTGTGAATGTCTTAAATTTTGATCACTACCTGTTAGCTGAGATTTAACAATAAAAGTGAAATGAACTTGTTAGCTGGTTATTGAATTGATTTAAATGCAACTTTTTTTTAATCATCTTAAACATAGCCTTGAAGACACTCTGATTGAAAGAATTGATTCAAATTGTTTATTGCCAATCTTGGGTATTTCAAGACTTCTGTGATTTTCATACACTCTTCACTTCACTTTAACTAACTTTAGTGTGGCATATCAACATCAGTAACAAAAATTTCATGCATAAAGCCATGTTTTGATTTTTTTTCTTATTTTTTAAGTCTCATTTTAATTAACACTTACTAACACTTTTATTTTGAATTGCTAAAAATTGGGAGGGATTTGGTCCAAACTTCTCCTCAACCTCCTCGCCTTTTGCATTCCTCATTGTGACAGTGCAGGGCACGGGTATGCCAAAGCCTTTGTTTTCTTTGCTTGTCTGAGTTCTGATCTCTGATTAGCTGATTTTTTGCATACATAATATTTGAGAGAACCCTTATTTAGGTAGCCTTCCTAATTTAAATAAAAGTTAAAATAACTGAGTATAACACAATTTGTGATAGTAGATGCCAACTCTAAAGTACATGCTGGACTTTGGAATGTGTACATGACAGTTGCCAGAAGTAACTTAGTTATGAAAATCAATAAAACAAATTGTCTGAATGTTTGAGTGAGGAAAATATTTTGCTTTGTATGATAGTATTTGTAGTGATCCTATCTGTTCTAGCCAGTGCAATGGCTTCATCAGTAGTACTTTCCCTTTTCTTAATCATAATTTGCAAATCAGAGAGCAAGTGTCATTGAATGTGATGAAAGGCACAAGGGAGGAAACTGGATAACTCCTTCACCTTCTAATTAGAGGTTCCTTCATTAGGAGAAAGACCTACATTTTTTTTTGAGGGATGACTGCTTTTTGAAACCAGAAGTTTATTCTTGAGTGCAACAAGTTTTTTTTTTGACATGTAATATTTAATCGTTTGTCTTAATTGGTATTTTCAATGCACTCAGTCATCTTTTGCACAATTGAATTTCAATTTGATTTTTAATTGGCTTATTGTAGGTAACTTTCACAAATGTATGAACCCCTGTGCTAAAGGGGCAGAATTTGAGTGCCTACATTCCAGTAGAGTTGTGGTTATGATCTTGGGACAAATTGGCAAAAGATTACCTTGACTTAATTATGTTGCTGTATTAGGGCCATTAAAATTGCAGCTGAGTAATTAAATAATCATAGTATTCAAATTAAGATTTTTAATTACAGCTAATTGTGATTTATTGTACAGAAATATTTCTGTACAACTGACCACAGTTTACTCCTTGTTTCATGACGACTAAATATCTAATATGCCTTTTATCCTTGACTTGACTTGATATTAATGTTCGTGAAGAAACATATTTTTGAAGAGCAAGTTGGGAAATTCCTTGCTGCCTTTGCTTGAAACACCCAGTCTACCTCATTTACCTTTTTTTATTAGAATAACAAAATGGGATGACTGATAGTGAATCAATACCCTAATGGTACTAATATTCTATAAAGATCACTTACAAAGCTCTTGCCTTCCTCTCTTCTCCTCCCCCCCCCCCCCCCCCACCCCCCACCAAATCATTATGCTCTTGTTATTTTTGTAAAGAAATAATGTAAGCTGCACACACACTTAGTTCTAAACTCTGTTTTCAGCACCAAATTTGCACAAAGTGTATGCTGATTCACTGAATTGCATGAAAAGGCAGCTTAGTACACATTGTATAATTTACTTAGCTTACTATCAAGAAGTACAAGGCTTTATTTCGACACATTGCATGGTTTTGTAATCCACAAATGAGTGGATTCATAATCAAGTTGTAATGTACTTGTTCAAAACTCAGTAAAATAGGATTCATTTGCATTGCAACCTCTGTAGGGAGCACTTTCTTGATAATTGTTCTTTTGGTCTATGTTTTAAGTTATTAAAAGAAAACATTTTTTAGGTGCTGTTTTCTTCAGATGAAGTAATGATCTACATGATGATTAAGTACAAAGTTCACAATCCTGTTGTATGCATGTTATTGCTCCCAGAAAGCTGTTTAAAAATGTACCTGAAGTAATTCAACTGGTATGCCATGTAGAAATTTGACAGCTTTCTTGTGTCTTCAAAGTTGTATATTTAGTTGGTCAAATTACTGACATATCACTCACCTGTCTCATTTTAACTGAATTTATTGAGAATGCCACATTGTGTACAAGAATGTGTCATATTTACTGGTCATTATTTCACCTGAAGTAGTGCACTAAGTACATCTCTATTGTAGAATCCCTCTTCTGCTGTGACCATTGGAATAAAAATGTATGACTGCTGTTGGATGAGGTCCTGTGGTAGCGCTTGCTTTGTAAAATGCTACCAAGTTATTTATTGTAAAGATAAACATTGAACGTTTAATAAAACTGAAAGAAAAAGTGGCCTGATTTATATTGTCTCATACAATCTGATAACTAAGAGTAATCAGGAAGTTACATGATTTATTGAAAATATAACCCTTTTAATACCCTTTTTATTTCTTGTAAAGCATGTTAAAGGACTTGTCATCATGGGGAAAAATATCCTGAACTTGATTAAATAAAACTATATGCACAACTTCTGCATACCCCAACTATAGCAAATTTTACAAAAATATTTCAGCAGTAATTTTCTATTCAGTTTGAATTTTGTACTGTATTATTGATGCTGTGCTCTGTTCCTGGTACATCTTAGCTGCTCTTTTTTTTTTCTTTTTTGCAACTGGCCATACTAATTAACAGGAGGTTTTGAACTATTGTTCTACTTGCCTCAATGCCACTTTTTTTCATGAAAGAAGCTGGGGCAGGGGCCATTGGAAATCTTCTACATGGTAGTGGTCATAGATTTGGAAGGTGTTGTCTAAGAATCTTTTGAACTTATGCAGTGCATCTTTGAGACAGCATATATTGCTACTGATGATCAGTGGTTGAGGGACTGCACTCTTTCAGTCAAGTCTGGAGTGTTCCATCTCCCCTGACTTCTGCCTTTTTGTAGATGGTGGACAGAATGTGATGAGTCAGAAAGTGACTTACTCATCACAGTATTCCTAGCATCTGACCTGTTCTTGTAGCCACTGTTCATGTAGCAAGTATCTAATAATAGCCTGAGGATTACTATTGACTAATGGGAGATTTTGGAGATGGTAAGGCCATTGAATGTTGAGGGCTGATAGTTATTGGAGATGGTCCATTGGTAGTATGGCTATTGCCCAAATCTTGTTGCCTTTTGGGTATGGGTTACATCTGTACTAGAGGTGTCATGAATGGGGCTGAACACTGCACTAATCAGTAAGCATCCCTAACTTTGACCTTTTCTGACTATCCCTCCATCCTAATGAAGCAGCTAATGATGGCTAGGCCTAGGACACTTCTCCCAGGAACTCCAGCTGAGATGACTGACCACTAACCATAGCCTTCCTATCACGTGCTCACTTACGACTCCAACATTGGAATTACTTCCTCCTGATTCCCTTTTATTTTAGCTTTGCTAGGGTTCCTTTAGTTAGTATCCCTGATATTGTCACCTCCCATCTTCCTTGGTGTAGTAATGATTTGAAGTTTTTCAAAATACTAATCAAATTTCCTGAGGTGAAAGCAAAGAAAATTGTCTGTACTTTTCCAATCTAGCTTCACTAGTGGCGTCTGACTGTTCATATGCTAAAAATGTGGCACCCGTACTGCATAATACGTCAGCTTTCGTCTTATGCTACCTGGCTTCCAGTATTTTTCCCCCAGCACCATGCTGTGTTATCTGACTCCAGCAGCTGCAGTTCTTGCTCTCTAAGGTCTAACTGGTGTCTTTTTTATAGGTTTTGTTACAAACATGCGTTTCTCCTAATCCTCGACCCTTTCAGAATTCATTTTATGCTGCTTTACTCTGAAGAAAGAAAATTGAGAAATCATCTCCTTGAACTTCCCCTACCACCCATCTACCCACTCTCCTCCCTTGCTCATGTCCGTTCTGAAGTTCTACACTTTTGCCTTCCACTTCTACAATGCTTCTCCTCTGTCCCCTGCACTCGACTCTAAATCATCAATACAGCAGGAAAAACAAGACTTCCCCCTATTAAACTGTACCCTGAAACTGATCAATTACTATTCTGTTACACTCACCCATTTTTTTGTATTACCTTGCGAATGTTCCTTTCATTCCCTGAGCGGGTCTAGACCCGAAATGTCAGCCTTCCTGCTCCTATGATGCTGCTTGGCCTGCTGTGTTCATCCAGCCCTGCACCTTGTTATCTCAGATACTCCAGCATCTGCAGTTCTGACTATCTCTTAAAACTTCGTGTGGTGCTAGTTTATCAACAATTTAGAATGTTATTGGGAAGTGGAGGTGTACGTTACCTTAAAGCTTTACTGTCAGCTCTCACAAGGACTCGCTAATTATCCCACCTTTCTCTGACCGTTACTTCAATCCCCAACCGTTGTGGCTGGATTGTGTTGTTCCATCACATCGGCCGGGCAACCTGGTGACGTCACGGTCACCTAGCGACCGCCGTCTCCTAGCGACGGGCATCAACCGCCTCCCTCAGGCCCAGGGGGAACCGGCCGCTCCCGCTCCGGTCCTTA